ACATTGCTTACGTCGTTATAATTGTTTTAACATTGTTATTGCAATTATTATACAATTGCACAGCAAAATCCAAGATTCTAGGTTAAGAACTTTTGGTTCTTATTTTAAGAACTTTTGTTCTTATTTTAAGAACTTGATTCTTATTTTAAGGTGGCTTCACAGGAAATAATTTTTTTTCAGTAAAGTAACTTAAATCAATTCTAAAATCAGTTTTATAAACTTAATTTAATGAAAATAATAATAAAATATAAAGGTTTATTAAAAAAAAAAAAAAAAGGACTTTATTGTTAAAAAACACACAAAAAAGCATATTTTTATTTATTTTTCAAAACACGATTACTCCAGAATTTCTAATTAAAACAACTTGGTATTTTGCAATATTACTTTCTGATATATGAGTCAAAAAAGACTTAGCAGTTGATAAATATTCATTCAATCATCAAGATTTTAGTTCATTCTCTACATGTATATATATTGAACAATTGGAGAAAATTTGGAGGTCTAAGCATTTTTTAATGTTGAGATATCGTGTTTTGAGTTGATCAATTATGGTAAAATATTCATTTTTAGATATATCGCAAATAAGTAAAAAATGTTTTTAAAACATCCCTTTTCGTAGCTATTTTTTGATGATTGATCTTGATCTTTATCAATCCAACCTTTACTAATTCCTCTTAAATCTTTTCTTCTTCTTTTTTTTTGTGGTTGGCCTTTTTTGACCATATTTTGTAACCTCTTTTGGTCTTTTTTTACTGAACTGCATATTGTATTTTTTCCCAAGTCTTTAATCGTGTATTTAAACATTTAAAGATTTAAATGTTTAAATACACGATAAATACCAGATGAACCTTCGTTAAAAGAAAGAACTGCTGAGTTTACTCCCATTTACAATATTTACTCATTACTTGTACATCTAAACATTTTCCTCCACATATGGCTGTAACAACTCCATTTAATAAAGCGTGGCCTCGTGTTTGCCAAGAACCATCGATAGCAATTTGGACAAGTGCTTCTCCTGTGTTAAGTTTTTCTTTTGACTCTAGTTTAGCAGTAAGAGCAGCCTCATTCATTGATTCTTCTAAAGCAAATTTGTATGCTTCTTTAACAGTTTTACTTATATTGTCAAAAGCATTTACAGTTAAACATGACATGTTCATAAGTCGTGAAAAATGAACCATTGGCTGGTGTCCTTTTCCAATTTCACGGAATCCTATTACCATTTTCAAGTTAACATCAAACATGTTTCTACCTTTTTTATCATTTTTAACTATGTTTGAAGTAAAATTACTGTATGTAAAATGACATTGAGCATTTTTACATGTTAAAATAAATTTATGGGAGAAACCCATTCTGCTAGAATAATCACCTGTGATGTTAACTTTACTTTTACACTCAGGACATGCACTAACTAAATCAAGTAACTGTTTGATAAAATTAAAATTAACAAGAACAAAATAATTATTTGTGTTGGCATTATTTGTATCTTCGACATCAAACTTTAACTTTTTAGCACTGATACATGAAACACTTTCAGACAAGTTGCCAGTTACATTCGTATCTTTAATACATTGTGTGTGCTTATTACCACTAAATTTTCTCTTCTTAGATCTTGAAGTATTCTTATAATTACCCATTATACATTTAATTTATTAACCTAAAAAAAATATTTCCAGTAAACATTGTATCAACACAACTTGTGTTAGTATAATGGTTTTGTCACAGGAAGTGAGTAATTAAATGATCGTATAATCATGCAATTTGAGTAAGTAAAACGGTTTTATTTTGAAAACTCAGCGTAGTTAGTTTTCTAAACTAAATTTTATGTAATTACATAACAAGAAAACATACCAAAACAGTGGTTAAACAAAAGTTTTCATACTGTTTTTTTCCGTTGTTATAGGCGTTGATAAGGAAGCTACTTTGTGACATACCTGCAAAATGCAAAATAGTAGCCTAAAAAATTTAAATTATTAAAAAAAAATTGTACCATCATTTTCAGCAATGTTTAAATTCTCTAAAATCATATCTTTCAAAAAAAAAAAATATTTTAGATTTTGCACTTTTTATTTCCTGTGAAGCCACCTTAAGAACCTGATTTTTATTTTAAGAACCTAATTCTTATTTTAAAAACTTGATTCTTATTTTAGATTTCCATCCTTATTTAAAGATATTTTAATAAAAAACATTTTTCTTAATTTTATAATATTGTAACATTTTGTTTGTATATAGTATGTATATATATTTGTATGTATTGTAGTATGTATATACAATGTTTGTATATATATATATATATATATATATATATATATATATATATATATATATATATATATATATATATATATATATATATTTATATTTATATATATATATATATATATATATATATATATATATATATATATATATATATATATATATATATATATATATATATATATCAATAGATACCTGCAGGTATACCTAAAAAAAATTAAAGAATTCAGAAAAATTAAAGCCACTGACATTCCCTTTCTGAAAATCCTCCACACCCTCTGATAGATCATGTGTTCATGATTTTATGTAATGAAATAATCTAATCCATTTGACCCATAAGACTAAAATACAAACCAGAAAGAGTCGTATACTTCAAGAATTTTATAGAATTTGCCTTTAATAAATGCAATATTCATATCTGCAAGTCTGCATAAATCTGAACAGCATAAATGTGAATCTTTTGTATGGGCGACGTAGTAGCAGAATAATATAAATGTAAAGTGCAAGCATGCATAAGAGCGATATGATTTGAAGTGCTCCAAAGTTTTGCACTTCTTTATAATAAATGAATTTAATGCCGAGCGACGAATCAAGGAGTTTTTGTGTGGCTAAAGACTCTGCTCCTTCCGCCTACCCCCCCCCCCCCCCCCCACTGTCAATAGGGCCCCAAAATCTTGAAAACCTACAGTCAATTACAAGCAATATATGTTTATGAGCGCATGTTCAAAAAATTCATAAGAAATTTTAGAGATTTTAAAATGGCTGCGGATCTTAGATTTTTTATATAGCAACTTTTTTTTAATTTTGGTTTTGTAAAAATTAATGCTTCAACTTATTTATTACACTCGTGATGATTGGAGTATTTGGACCAAATGTTGTTTGTTGTATTCAAACCTAGCACCCAATTTTTTCATAAATGGAATAACATCAATAAAACTGTATTAAACCAGCAATATATTTTTCTAAATTCAAATAGATTGTATTAGTAAAAAGCAAACCTCTTTTAATATTATGTACGCGGAAATCACGATTTACGGAACCGATTGTGCTAAAATTTTGTGGCTCGTTTTTTTAACTTTTTTTTAGGTAGCATTAGGCAAACGTATTTTTGTTAAGTTTTTTTTTTACAAATATATATACAGACAGATACTTTTTTGAAAGAAGAAAGATTAATCTTGATTTTTATATAACTTTAATGTATGGTTACTGAATTTTTTTATGGATTATTTTGGTTCTGAAAAATAGGTTGATGTTCTCACATAAATATGTAGTCGAAGGAATATTGATGCCGATCTATTTATTATTCAAACAAATTTCTGCATGCAATTTCTATGCACATATCAAATTTTAAAGAAAAAAAAAAAGGGAGCAGATAGGTTTCAAAGGGTTCTACTACGCATACTGCATTTTTTCGGTAGTCTTAGTAAAACGTACTTTTGTGGTATTTCTTTTTAAAAAAATATGCAAATAAAGGTTTGTTTTTGAAAGAAGAAAGGTTAAGCGTGATTTCTATATAACTTTTATGTATGGTTACTAAACTTCTTTATGGGTTATTTTGCTTCAAATTTTGCATGATAATTTAGACGATGTTTCCACTTGAATTTCTAGTAGAAAAAATGTTGATCCCAATATATTTATTATTTAAACAATTTTCTATATGCATTTTCTATGCAAATGCCAAATTTAAACGAAAAAAAAGGGAGCAGGCAGTTTACTAAGTGTAACACTTTTAGCACCTAATTTCTGTTTTTCTGATTTTTTTTTTTTCGGTTATAGCAAATTACGGGGGCAGCTAGGGGGGCCATTCGCAAAACAATAGTTATTGCGATAATGCTTATTCGGATTTTTATTATTAAATAATAATATGGAAAAAATTAATGAAGTTTTTTTGGACTCTGTAACAACTAGTAAGTTATTTTTTTAAATAAAAGTATAAGTAATAATTATTTTTAAAACTAAATTATGTTGATAAATTTAAAAATCTTTTTTAAATTCTTACCGTTTAAGACTAAACGTTTAAGTTTAACGTAACGTTTAAGACAAAAACGTAACGTTTAACGGTAACGTTTAAGACTAAAACTTCAGTAAAACTGTTGCTTTTGAATTAATTGTTAACTCAATTGAGTTACAATTGAGAATACTTTGATCAAAGTATCAGTGGACATCTTTATAAAAACACCATTCATAAATAAGTGTAAAGATCACATACTTTATGTGATGTTACACTTATTTATCTTTACACTTATTTACTTTAATAACAAAAGCCTTAGTGTTTTTAAAATATATTATCATCATCTTATTATCATTTTAAAATAAAACTATTTAATAATTGATCACAATAGCCTGTTTAATAGGCTATTGTAAACAATAATTAAAAGATAAAGTAGTATACAATTTATATATTCCATTATTTAAACATGTTAATTATTAAATACAAAAATAAAGTAATATAGTATACTACTTTATTTTTGTATTTAATTGTATTTATATTTGTATTTATATTTGTATAATACAATAAATTAATGTTAAAACTTTTTTTATTAAAATACTTTAAAAACATAAACTTAATCATTAAGTTAATGTTTTTAAAGTGTTTTAATAATGTTAAAGCAATATTAATAGTATAAAAGATAAAAATTTTATTAACTAATAATATTCAATAACAATTTTATCTTTTATACTATCAATATTATTTTATATTAATAATTTTGAATTATAAATTTCAAATTTATAAAAAATTAATAATTATTATTAATTTATTGTTTACTACTTTAACTTTTGAAGCAATATTCCAAAGTTAGTTGGTTGTTTGTAATTAGATTTTTTTTATATTTTCATTGTTAATTTTTTGTTTAAGTTTTCACACACACACACACACACACACACACACACACACACACACACACACACACACACACACACACACACACACCATCAATGATTCTTAATCGGCAAACTGGACCCTTAGTCTGTAAATTGGACCCTTAGTCAGCAAATTTTCGACCCTTTCGATATAGGTTAGACAGTCGTCATGAAAGTCGGCAAATTTTGGAAAACGAGGACCTTTTTTTTTTTTTTTAGTCGCCAAAAGTTGTAATGGCACCCCCCAACGTGACACCTACTCGCGCCGGCCCTGCTTGCAAATAGGTACTGCAAATTTTGTGACTTGCAAAATAAGTGTGGTTTGCAAATAGGTACCGAAAGTTTTGTGGCTTACAAATTGATAGTTAGCTCTGGCTTACCTTTACGAGGTGTCTAATGTTAAAAATTATTCATTTTGTTTCGTTAATGTAATTTAAAATTTAAATTATTTACTAGAAGCCCAGACAAGAAATAATTACATTTTTTATTTCAAAAAACTTGTTTTTTTTGTGTTTTTTTCTTAGGTTGGAGTGGTTAATCTGTTCCTTTACATGATAATGTATACTCAGATGCATCTTGTAATGTGGTAGAATAGTTTTTTATTCTAATTTCTTTTTCTTTAAAAAATACTTTAAGACTTCTTTGTTAAATTGTAATTAAAATTTTTTTATTTGGTTCCAATAGAGGAGGGGGATAGCTTGCTCCTCTTTTTATAAAGACAAATTATACACCTCTAGGTGTATAAATTGCTTTTATGAAAGGGGGTGCATAAAGGCAATTTATACATACTATACTACACTTTTTTATTTCAAAAGGCTTGTTGTTTTCGTGTATTTTTTTTTAGGTTGGAGTGTATAATCCGTCTTTTTTCATGACAAAATGGTTACTCTGATGCATTTTGTAATGTGTTAAAATATTTTTTTATACTCATTTCTCTCTGTTTTTTAAAAAAGCATTTTAACATTTTTTTGTGAAATTTTCATAAATTTTTTTTTCAGGTTCATGGCAGGGGGGGGGCAGTATACGCCCTTCTTCCCTCAAAGCAATCTATACACCACTAGTTACTCTTTGTTATAGTGTTGAAATATATTTTTTTGTTTTTTATAATAGATTTAATTATTTTAGTAAAGATTGTAATAATTAAAAAAATGAAATTTTGATAGGGTGTGTTAAACCTTCCCCAAAACCCAACACCCAACTTTAAGATAAACCTGTAATATTTGCTAGTGATGTGGAATAAATAAATAATAACTTGTTGTATATAAACATTACTAATTTTATAAAGAAAACACTCTATTTAAAAAAAAAATTGCATTTTTGTGAGGTGTAGGTGGCGGATTAGCACCCTCTCTGGATCCCTCCATGCGCCCTTTACCTAGACACTAGTTTGAAGTTATAGTCCATTTTTTACATCTATTTTTTGATACTAAGTTATAGATATTTGAATAAGAATTGTCAAAGTTATAATAATTTATGTAGAAAAACATTTTTTTTTTTACCACAGTTTTATCAAGAAATCCATATATTGAATAATTGCTACTAAAAACGTTATATTTTTTTAAAGAATTGTCTGATTTTCATAATTTTTTCACCTTTAAAATATTGTATTTTAGGGCTTTCCAATGATATATAGCATTCTAGTATTGGATCAATTTAAAAAATTGATCCAATTTTTTACATACACTTTATATCACTAAACTTTACTACTAAAACTCATCTTTATGTCTTTTTATTTTGGAGAAATGTAATTACTGTTCGTAAAATCTTGGACTCATTGTGGGTCATTATTATTGCTCTTGGTATGATTATGTGTAATATAAATATCAAAGCTATTTTACTTCTATTCATATCACTATTACTTATTGTTATTGTTTAATATTAAATTTAATATTTATCAATATTATTGTTACTATTATTATTGTTATTGTTATATTAATATAAATATAGTTGTTAACATTGCTTACCTCGTTATAATTTTTTTAATATTGTTATTGCTATTACTATATAATTGGTTTTTACTTAAGATTAGTATTAGTACTATTTCTAAATATCCATGTTTATATTGCATACATACACATATATGACATATATGTGTGTGTTTTCTTTTAAGCAATTGCAAGTTTCCAAATACATGCAAAGTAAAGAAAGTAAGTAAAGTAAACAATACTTTTCAATTAGTAAATTTAGTATTATTAATTAATTTTAATTTTTTACATTTTCTATCCTTATTTTTATAACATGATCAATTAAAATGCACTAGAACTTTGTTCTGGTGCATTTTAATTGAACCAAGTATAGAATTTTAATTTATTAACCTGGGTAAATAAATTTCCAATTGAGAGATTTGATTGAGTTGCAGCATTTTTAGAGAAATATCAATGTTTCCCTAATGTGCTATTGGTAAAAAAAAAATTTTTTTTTCATTTGTGATTTCATATATTTATTGGATAAAATGAAATAGTGTTTGAAAATCACAAATCCTTTTTTAAATGAGAAAATATTTTCAAAACTGCTATGTCCTCTAATGGGTTATTCTATAAGTTTTCTCTGCTTTTTAAAGTTGTATGCTTTTTTTATTATTATTATTTAATTCAGATTGTTGGCGACATGTATTAAAGTCTTCTGTCATAGTTGACTCAGCAAGAATGAAGACATTGATACACTTTTGCATTATGGAATACCCAATTTGGCAGTTCCTCGCCCACTGCCACCCAAATACAGGTAGGTATGCATGCATACACAACCCTCAAAATTAGTAAAATCAAAATGATTTATAAAATTGTCGACATTTTAAGATATGAAAATATATTATTGTTAAATTTTGAGTTTGTAAAATTTATTTTCAGATCGTACAGATAAGGATTTCTTTTTCATTTTACGTACAGATAAGGATTTCTTTTTCATTTCAAAAAGAAATCCTTATCTGTACGTAACAGACGATGGAGACGAAGTGATTATTATGTGTGGCAAAAGATTATTTTATGAAGTTTTTCGTTTTCTGACTTTGTGATGGAACTTATTGGAGTACACTTTTTTGGACATAGGAGGAGTATTGCCGCTACAAGCATGAACAACAATAAAACATTCCAAAGAATAATTTGCTATTTTAACGATTAGATTTGTTGTTTAAATGTATAAATGCTTGTTGAATATTCTTATTATATATCATCCTAATTTCAAAATAATGTTTCATTTTTTCCATAGAAAAAGTACTATTGTAATATTGCTTTATAGTTCAGGGGAAATATTATTGAAAAAAAAAAGAATCTTATTTTAAATAAAAATAACATTGAAACAAGTAAAAAATGATTTTTTTAAGGAGTATAACTTCTTGAAACAAAAAAAAAATACATAATTTTAAGAATATAAGTTCTTGAAACAAGAAAAAAGTTCTTGTTTTAAGACTAAAAATTCTTAAAACAAGAAAAAAAATTCTTATATTAAGAAAAAAAATTCTTAAAACAAGAAAAAAAATTCTTATATCAAGAATAAAAATTCTTAAAACAAGAAAAAAATTCTTATATTAAGAATAAAAATTCTTAAAACAAGAAAAAAAATTCTTATATTAAGAATAAAAATTCTTGTTTTAAGAATAAAAATTCTTGAAACAAGAAAAAAAATATTTAAGAAAAAAACTTCTTAAAACAAGAAAAAAAGTTCTTATTTTAAGAATAAAAATTCTTGAAACAAGAAAAAATATTCTTACGTGGCGGACAAGTCATTTTTTTTCTTGCTTCAAGACTTTTTTTGCTTAAAACAAGAATCTTGGATTTTGCTGTGTGGTTTTTACTTAAGATTAGTATTAGTACTATTTCTAAATATCCATGTATATGTTGCATACATACACCCATATATGACATATATGTGTGTGTTTTCTTTAAAGCAATTGCAAGTTTCCATATACATGCAGGGCCGGCGCGAGTAGGTGTCACGTGGGGGGGGGTGCCATTAAATTTTGCCGACTAAAAAAAAAAAAAAAAAAAAAAAAAACCTTGTTTTCCAAAATTCAACGACTGCCATGACGACATTTGCCGACTGTCTAGATTACCGAATAACCAATAACGAAAGGATCGACATTTGTCGATTAACTAGTCTAAAAGGGTCCAATTTGCCGACTAAGGGTCTAATTTGCCGACTAAAAATCATTGATGAAGGGAGGGGGGGTGACACCCCCGCACACCCCTATCGCGCCGGCCTTGTATACATGCATAGTAAAGTAAGTAAAGAATGCAATACTTTTCAATTAGTAAATTTAGTATTATTAATTAATTTTATTTTTTACATTTTTTATCCTTATTTTTATAACATGATCAATTAAAATGCACCAGAACAAAGTTCTGGTGCATTTTAATTGATCTAAGTATGAATTTTAATTTATTAACCTAGGTAAATAAATTTCCAATGTTTCCCTAATGTGCTTTTGGTAAGAATTTTTTTTCATTTGTGATTTTATATATTTATTGGATAATGTTTAAAGTGAGAAGGTATTTTTTAAAACTGCCATCTCCTCTAATGGGTTATTCTATAAGTTTTCTCTGCTTTTTAAAGTTGTATGCTTTTTTTTTTATAATTATTATTTAATTCAGATTGTTGGTGACATGTCGCGACGTTAGAATTATCTTGTGCTATCTCCAATTTTTGAAAAAATTGAGATTTTATTATTTTCGAATATTTTAGCATTGTGTTGCTCTACTTTAATTATATTGAAAAAAAATAAAACTTTTAACACGGTATTGCATGCAATATTGCATTGTTCTATCTCCTTAATGAGCAAACTTGAAAATATTATCTTGTTCTATCTCCAATCAACCAATCATATTACAATTACAAAGTTGTTCGGAATAATTTTATCAGTTTTGTTGTTTTCAAAATGGCAACTGCAAATATTGACCAAGAAATGGAACCTGCCCTAAATCAAAACGAAGGTAGTTTTTCAACTTAATTTGTATTATAATTTTGGAAAAGTAGAATTCGACTTTCGCTTGTGCCATTTTAGATTAAATTTAAAAGTTATTATTTATACATCCTGGATAATAAAAAATTAATATTTTAATCGTTAGAGCTGCTTGGCATTACACCTTCTCGTCGGTCGCCCCATGGTGGGGTTTCTAGGAAACGTAAAGCTGATAGGAGTAGTTGGAAACAAAGTGTAAGAAAAATCCAACGTCAGTCGGGTAAAGCTTATAAAAATACGAAAGGAGAACAAATGCCAAAAAGATCTATTGTTGCACTAAAAAGTTGCAGAAATTGTAAATTTAAATGTTCTACCAATATATCTGAGATTGAGCGTCAAATAATATTTGATAACTTTTGGACCTTAGATGATGACGGAAAAAAACATTTCTATTCTAAAACTACTGAAAATCTGGAGAAAAAACGCTGTCGGACAGCTGCTGGTGACAATTCAAGAAGAAAAACATCTTATTATTATAGCTTTTTTGTTTCTAATACACAATATAGAGTTTGTAAATCATATTATCTTTCAACATTGAATATTAGCAGCCATAGAGTGTTTTACTTTCATAAGTTTAATAAATCTTTAACTATTGGAACACCATTGCAATCGAAATCAGGGAAACATGTTAAAAAAAGGTTACTAGAAGAGTCTAAACAAGTTGTACGAGACCATATTAACCTTTTCCCAAGAATTGATGCTCATTATAGCAGGAAAAAGACACATAAAGAATACATGGAAGGATCACTAAATATAGGTAGAATGTATGATCTTTATAAAATATATTGTGATGAAAATGTCTCTCCTCCAGCAAAAGAACATATGTATCGTTATATCTTTAATCACAAGTTCAATATAGAATTTCAAAAACCGAAGAAAGATTTATGTGACACATGCTATGAGTATCGCAACATTGTTAATGCAAGCAATGAACAAACAGATAGTTATAATAAGCACATAAAATCAAGGAATGATACCAAAACTGAACGTGAAAATGATCGCCAAAATGTTGATTCTAAAACTGCAATTGTTTGTATTGACCTTGAAAATGTTTTGAATTTGTCTAGAGCTAATGTGGGAAACTTTTATTACAAACGAAAACTTTCAAATTATAACTTAACTGGTCATTGCTCGCTTAACAGGAAGGGTTATTGCATCCTTTGGCACGAAGCCATGACTGGTTGTGGAGGAAATGATCTAGCCAGTGCTGTAACATGTTTGCTTTTGAAAATCATGGCTGACCTTGACATAAATACGTTCATACTTTGGTTCGATTCATGTGTACCACAAAACCGCAATAGTTTCATGTCAGCAGCTTTGTGTGAATTTATAATATGATACCCACAAATAAAAGTAATTGAACAGAAGTTCTGCGAGCCAGGTCATTCCAGCATTCAAAAATGTGACAACATTCATAGTCGGATTGAAAAATCCCTCTCTGCTGCAGAAATATTTAGTCCACTTGGGCTAGAAAGAGCTATTAAAAATGTAAACCGTAAAAAACCTTTCTGTGTTTACCAAATGCAATTAGGAGATGTAAAGAATTTTTCAGTTGTCGCTGGTTTGCCAAGTTATAAGTTAGTGCCTTATTCAAAGGTTAAAAATCTTGTTTATCGAAACGGACTGCCATACCATGTTTTTTTTAAAACCTCGTTTTCAGATAATTATTCACAAGCTCGTATAAATAAGTCTGTCAAGAAAGCAGCATCAACCATTGTTGCAAAACCATTAATTACCAATATACCAATGGCAGCTTGCTTTTGTGCTTCTTATCAGTCTATATCTGTTGCAAAAGCCAATGATATCATTTCCATGTATTCATACATGCCTGCTGTTGATATTGCATTTTATAAAACAATAATAAATTGAACATTTACAAAACATTAATAAAGTCAAAATATTTTTAGGGTTGTTATATGTTTGGTATAAATATAAATAACATATTTATATATATATAATAATATAAATAATATACATATAAATAACATATTTAAATAAAATATTTATTTAGTATAAATATAAATATAAAACACATTGAAATAATATTATTTTGAAATCTTGATAAAAATTTTTGTTTAGCTTGTGTTTTTTTTGTTTGTTTTTTTGTACTTTTATATTCATTTTCCCCCACTTGTTTGGTTTGGATGGTTTTCCATAGTGACATAAAGGCCACTATGAAAGAGTTAAAGCAATGTTTCACAACCTGATGCCCTTCCTGACGTTAACTTGAGTAACAATTTTTTATTTGTAAATATTTGCAATAACTTTTAATAAAAAGTTAAACTCTAATGGATACACAGGCATAAGAAAATATAAGAAATTAATGGATACACAGGCATAAGAAAAATAAAATCAAGTTCATCTTGCACGGAGTTTTTGATTAGATTAGTTGAATTAATACGTTTATATTATTATTACGCAGCCAAATTTTCCGTTTTAAATTAGACGTCTTAGTCTTGTCCAGGGCCGGCGCCTACAGGTAATTAAAGTAAATGTAAGTCGTAAGAACAGTGTTGTTAGAGGCTCTTCTAAAAGTTCTCCTAATTAGGGCCTCATTTTATTTAAAAAAAAACTTAATTTTTTAGGTAATACAAAAAGCGTCTTATGTTTTGAAAAGGGTCCCGTAAAATTAGGGGCCCATGCCCATAACTTAGGAGTGTATGTACTGCGTAAGAATAATTAGCAGGTAGAACAAAATTTCATCAATTTCTAACATGTCGTTGTTGAAAAATGTACTTAATATGTTTAATATATATGATGTAACAACATA